CACTGATTTGAAGCGACCGAGTTCGCAGTTGTACGACTTTTCCTTTAGGCAGTGTAAATTTTTTCACGCCTTCGATGTGATATGGCGCTCTGTAGTCTGGAGATCTTTTGTACCGGTATCGAAATTGTCGTTTAGGACGGTAGAAACAGATAGTAAATATGTGACTTGCTAATAATTAGGACATAATAGTACTCTGGCTTGGTCAAGCCGAAATGGACGAAGTGTCCGATCATGCTGCCTCCGACGCGAGCGCCCCTGGTGGCTGCATTTCGCCTGGACCCATCTGATAGCTGTTTATTCACTGTAATATTTAGCACAAATTGTAACCCCGATTTCTGTTCCCTTCCATTTCAGAAATTTCAATTCACACAATGGTTGATTAAGATGTGAAAAATGTCATAAGTTCTGTTGAGAGCTTATAATTATTCACTGCAATGATGGAACTCATAGGGTTAGTAAGTTGTGCAATACAGCAGTAAGCACATGCGAGCTGTGCTCGATTTGCAAAATATGACAGGTACAGCATTATTACTAAGTAATCATTCTTCCACCCGATGAATCATGTACGACACTTATGACTCGATGCACGTTCCTGTGATGCAGTGAAAATGTGCCAGCGTTTGACGCTCTTATGCGACAGGCCTGCTTCGAACTTAACGAACTGAGTAAAATCCGCTATACTGGTTCGTACACCGCGTATATAAACGAGCGTTTCACTCATACAACACCGGAATTCAGGGCGTATTGCATCGCCCCTTGGTCTTAGGTACCTAGAGAGTCATTTAAGCAGGTTACGGCTTCATGGCATTTGTGCATTTGCCAGAATCAAAGAGGAAGAATACTTTATTGCTATTGTACAAAATCAATGGGATATGTGATAACTGTCACGAAATTGAACTGGTCAGCTATATCATCAAGCTATATGAAAGGGTGCTGAGGAGAGAGTGATGAGAGAAACCGACATCGGCGTCTTATGAAACCAGTTGTAGAGTAAGAAAGAGAAATATGTACATATTTATTGATTAAAACAAGTATTTATTTTACTCTGCGTTGCATCTGAAGAATTAATTTTAAGCAGCGATATCCTGTTTTTTACGTCTAAACGGAGTACAAATTTATGATACAACTTGCTCGGTTTGCCTCAAGTTCTGTCCAGAGCATTTCTACAGTAGGACAAAGTTGCTGTTTGGACGTGGTCGAATCACAGCAGCCTGA